TCTATTAACAAGAACCCAATTAAACATAAACCTCCAACAATAAACATGGCAATAATGAGACTACTGCTCCATTTGTATGTTGATCCACCTCCACTTATGGGAATAAGTAAAAGAATCAAACCAGCAGAGCTGAATATGAACCCCAAATAATCAATCTTCTTGAATTTTTCTCTTCTGGTTAATATATCCAGCTTTTCCTTTTTATTTTTACTAACAACAAAGTAAATCGTAGAGGCCACTAAAAAACATATGGCTGGCATGATATAATAAAATGTTCTCCAAGTTGAACTTTTTATAAAACCAGCTAAAATCAATGGACCTGTGCAGTTAGCTAGTCCTATACTACTTGAAAGAATACCATAATACTTAGCACGCTTCTTAAGTACAACAATATCAGAAATGATAATATTGGTTAACAGCTGGATTCCTCCGTTTGCTATACCACAACATGCTCTAAAAATGAAGAATTGTACTCCTGTTCTTGCAAGCCCGCAGGCTAAATCAGCAACTGCCAAAAGAAAGAAAGAATACAACAATACAGTCTTCCTACCAAAAATATCAGCAAACCTACCAACTAACACCTGGCACACACAATTAGCCAAAAGAGAAGACGTACCTGCCCAATTAATAGTGGTCTCTGCATTCAAATCCTTTGCGACCCGTGGTAATGCAATAGTTATCCCAGTTTGATCAACAAACGATATAAACAACCCAAGAGACATAGTTGCAAGGCATATAATCATTTTCTTTTTTGGCAAAATATTTAGATGAGCATCTCCTAATTTTTCAGCCAAATCTTGCTCATCGTTCTCACCACCGTTCTGCGTACTAGTTTCTCTAACATCGTGAGCTTTCGTACTACCATCAACTGGTGGAATGTTGTTAGCACTTAAAAGCATATTCGATCGACTTTCCAGAATTTCGTTTGCACCATTAAATTTGACATGTTCTTGCATATTTACCTGCAGCTTCTGAACTTTCTTAAAACAAGATAGTTGCACACCAATTTAGATCCCTTATTTTGAGAACCTTTAGGCTGTATTCTGTATGTCTACTCCGGAATAATCTGGAAATTTTAAGACTAGTGAACAAAAGGGTTCATATTTAAACTGAGGAGATAGAAACTTCGTCGGATCGGAAATCGGGCTTCTCGGACTAAGTGGAGACAAAAGATGGGGCTGCGAATTTATATTGGCCAGTCAATGAGTCACTATATATAATCATAGTAGCGTTTTCAATATGGGGCATAAGAATGTTTTACTTAGCACTGACGAGTAGTATTAACAATTGCATTCAAAAACTGTTTACTTTGATAAAAAAAAATTGTTAGACATATTTAAGCTTCCACATTCGCTGTTGCAATCAAATCAGTCATAGACTTCAACGCCGTTAACTGTAAACGATTTACGGACCTCTAAGCTTATGTATCCAGTAAATTTTAACATGTTGCATTGCTCTTATATTACTAATCAAAAGCTCTTAGGAACAAAACTTTAAGGTTCCACTCTTTCACCCACCCCAGTATTCACACGCTCTATGGGAACCGTCACAATTTGTAGGATTAAAAACATAAATTCTGTTAAATACATCAGTTCATGTCTTTTTGGTTTCATCTGTTGGTATACGCATTCGTAGTGAACATTGGAATAGAACCCGAATTTTGCAGCTGCCTCAATAATTCGTAGTTTTAAATTTTTTGATATGAAATTAAATGGGTTTCTCAACTTTCCCCATTTCTGTAACCTCTATATTACTTCGATGGTGCTTTCGGTATATTTATTAAACTTCATTGTACATCAAAGTTGTTATCTTCTAAAGATATCAATGTAATGAAAAATTGACTCGGCACGTGATGTGGTTCAAGGGTCATCTGGTGAGCTTTGCCATGAAGTAAATAAATCGAGTCCTCGTATACCCAATTGAACCACAATATCGAGTTATCTTACGTTAAGAAAGTGTGAATATGGTTAAGGATACTAAATACTACGATATTTTAGGCGTTGAGCCAACTGCAACAGACGTAGAATTGAAAAAGGCTTATAGGAAGCAAGCTATTAAATGTCACCCAGATAAAAATGGAAATGATCCTACTGCAGCAGCCAAGTTTCAAGAATTAGGAGAAGCATACGGTATTTTGCAAGATAAGGAAAAAAGAGCACTTTATGATGAGATGGGTGTTGAAGGTATGCAAAGTAACAATGTTGCGGGCGAAGCAGATGTCGACCCAGCTGAGTTCTTCAGTATGATTTTCGGAGGTGAAGTTTTCAAAGACTGGATTGGTGAATTATCAATGTTGAATGAAGTTTCCAAGACTGCTGATATATTGGGCGACGAAGAGGGGGCTGAACTGGAAACGCAGGCAACGGATTCGACCAATACAACAAGCGAAGTAGCTACACAATCAGAAACCGGTTCAGACGTGACTAAAACTAACGGACAGAAGGATGATATCTTGTCTACTGAAGCCATTAATAAGAAAAAGAAGCAAAAGATGACTCAACAACAAAGGGAAGAGATTTTGAAACTCCATGAAGAAACTAAAAAGGCCCAAGAAGAACGTGTGAGAGTGTTGTCACAGAACTTATTATCTAGAATCGAGCAATACACATCTGCTTCTACCAACCAAGATTCCTTAGATCGTTTTAAGACAAAGTTGAACGAAGAATTAGAAGATTTAAAGATTGAAAGTTTTGGTATTGAATTGTTACATTTAATTGGTAAGATTTACACAAACCAAGCTCATGCAACTATTAATGCTTGCAAGACCTTTGGTGTGTCCAAAATATTCTCGTCTGTTAAATCTAAAACTAACAGCTTCAAAAATGGGTTCTCTATTTTAAAGACAGCTTTAGATGCTCAAGCTTCTGTCGAGGCAATGGTTAGAGAGCAAGAAGATATACAAGAGGCTATCGCAAGAGGTGAAGAATTAACCGATTCCCAGAAGCATAGACAGGTTGAAATGGAGAGGTTAATTACTGGTAAGGTTTTAGCTGCTGCATGGGCTTCTACTAAATTCGAAGTCACGGGTATTTTGAATAAGGTTTGTAATAGAGTCTTGAATGATAAATCTCTCGGTAAGAAGGTTAGAATTTCCAGAGCTCAGGCCGTACTTTATATTGGTGAAACTATGTTGAAGGTAGAAAGATCACCCGAAGAAGCCGAAGATGCCAGAATTTTTGAAGAAATGATGGCAGACGCTACTGCTAAGAAATCAACAAAAAGAAACAAGAAATCTAAAGTCAGTGATAGAGATATTGAAGAGTTCATGAAGAACGTTAATGAAGTCCACGAAGTAGATGAACCTGAAGAAGTTAAATAATTAATTCCTCTTGTATTTATAATAGAATATCAATATATTATGTTTGGTTTGTGCACGACCGTATCTTTTTTTAATTCATCACGAAAGTACTCCACGGAATACTATTAGATATCTTTTTATCCTTAAACAAAAACCATGCCTAATTCTAAGCAAGTACTAGGTTTATATAAACAGCTTTTGGAGAAAGCTTATAAGTTTGATAACTATAACTTTAGAGAATTTGCAAAGAGAAAGATTGTTGATTCATTTAAGGCGAACAAATCCTTGAAGGACGATGAAGCTGTTAAATCATTTTATAATGAGGGAATAAACCAGTTAGCTATGTTACAGAGACAGACAACTATTTCCCAAATGTTTACCTTTGACAAGGTGGTTGTTGAGCCATTAAAGAAGCATCATTAAGAAAAATAGAAGATTCCGAGTAGTCGAAGTTATCAGATTTCTAATGACTGCATTTCAGAAACTGCTTAATTCAAGGAGATATTACGCAAAGGTTTAAGTTGTTTACTGTGATCCATTTTTTGTACATAATTTACGCATTACTGATCAGATTGGTGGCGTATAGCAGATATTCGTTTTAGATTTTTAGTCTTTTAATAAATTTATACGTTATTGTTGAAGAATGAAAGCCAACCAAAGGACGTTGATACAGCTTTGCATATAACGAATAAAGCGTTTATCTTTTTTATTTTTAATGTACTTCAAGAATGACCCTTTCAGTCTTATTTCTTCCTAATGAATTTGTAGTCACAAATGCAAACATGCTATCAAAAGCATGTTTTGTATATGAATCTATCCGTTTGCTATGCATAATTAGATAATGAATCTTGTTATACGTATTAGTTCCACCAAAAAAAATGTTTATGATAATCTCATTATTATCTTCATCCCTAAATCAATGTTGTTGTTTTAGTTATTAAAACAATCAACTAATTAGCATAAAACCAGGTTTATGATAATTCATTTGAACAATGGAATGTTCTTTATTCATGAAATGGGCTACTCATAACTTACGTAGAGTTCAAAAAAGTTGCAAAAAATATACGACCTCGGTGAGGGTCGAACTCACGATCTTGAGATTAACAGTCTCACGCCTTAGCCAACTTGGCCACGAAGTCGTATTTTCAGAAGTCCAAGGAATAATCATGTCTAAGTATGTAGCAGATAAGGTGACTCGTATGTAATTGTTAGTCATAAGTACTTGCAAATATACCTCTTTTCAGATTGTATATAAACAGGGGAATAAAATAATAAAGTGGTTCATTGTCGTTTAGATTTATACAAATAAGCATGGAGCAAGATAAGAAATGTATTGGGATTGAAAAGACCCAAGAGAACGTTTTGAAACATTTTGAGACAGTATTAGGTGATAAATACAAAGAATATGAATTCAGCTTCTGTCAACATAACAGCTTATTCTATATTAACCCTGTAGAGAAAAGGGAAATGGATGTATTGGAAAAGGATAGCTTGTTAGAGAAGGCTATTGATACGATGCCGCATAGGTGCATGGTATGTTTGGAAGACAATGTCTTTTAGCATCAACGTTATCAAACTTTAGATACTCTATATAGGAATTTATATTATGCATTGTTGTATATTCGTAGATTTTTGGCCTTTTTAGAAACTATCAATCGTATATCAGTAAGTATGCGTATTTAAAGACTTATACTATTTGAATGCATATTTAATCCTGAACTCTTAAACTTTAGCATCTAGAACGAGAAGGTGATACTATTAACATCTGGTACAACCAATAAAGTCTCTAGTCCATTTTTGAAATTAATATCCATTGAAAAGTCATTTTCTAAATTCTCTAAAGTCCTAACATTTATCTTTGGCAAAAGTAATCTACCGACTGTTAAAGGTATTAAAACTACCTCAAAGCTATTTTTATTTTCATTTGAGTCATAGTCGATTTGAAAAGATTCTTTTCTAAATCCTGAAATTAGCCAGTTGTCATCGGTTTGAATGGTAAGCTGAAAATTCTCTTTCTGAGAAAAGAGGCTTACTGGTTTACTAGGTGAAGATTCTGCAAGTATTTCTATCTCATCTTCAGAACCAGCTTTAACTTTATTATTTGACCATTTTGTAATAGATTCAATATTTAGATTCATTAGTATAGGTTCGCCTACTAAATATTGAGGCTTTCTTTCAAACTCAAATTCAATAATTTGTAAAATATTTAAAACTGGGATAGGTACAGTGATTAACAATTGTCTATTCTCGAAATTAGGCGTAACCTCAAATTTCAATTCATTTTCAAACAAAACATCCTTGAATAATCCTATTAATTTTTTCTTATCTTCCTTTTCTTGTACGTGTTTTAACAACGTTCTTTCAATCAATAATTCTATTTCACAGTTATTAATGATCTTGACTTCCTGATTGATAGCATAATTGTTCAAATCGAAAATGATCTCTTTAAAGAGTAATGTCTTTATCAAGTACCAATATTTACGCAACTGTAAATCATGTAACCTGTCCAAAAGAAAACTTTGAATAATAGCACAACATTCATTTTTTAAATCTGAATATTGGACCTTTAAATCTAATGAATCTAATGATTTAATCATATAATCAGATTTCGGAATTATTTTGTAAAAATACGATGCAGGCTGATCGCCGAAAGTTATCGGACTCGGGGAATTCTTTGGACTGATAATAGTATAGTTCTCATTTATTGTTGTTAGATCATTAGATATTATTCTTATAGGTAGCTTTGGATTCGAAGTACCTACTTGAAATTTGGAGAAGATATACTGCGACTTGAATATGTCTTGTACTGAGACAGATATAGTTAAAGTTGTATCCACTTGGTCAATAATAGAATGACTAAAATCTTCCCCATTCGAAGAATATGCTATGTCTGTCTTTAGACTAATAATCTTATTATCGCTATAATAGGAATAGGGAATTTTAATGTCAATTGACTCGTTGGAAGATAAACTCTTGACTTTAAGTCTATCTTTCAAAAGTTCCTTATTAATCTTAAGACCATTTGTATTCGAAATTATATCGATTTTCATGTCCTGAACATTATTATTTCCATTTTTTATTCTTAATATTACTTCAGTACTCTCCAAATCGATATCAATAGGGGTGCAAAATTCACATGAAAATTTAGTTAGACCTGGATAAAAAAACATATCCGAAGTCCATTTATTATGGCCAACTACGATATCCCTAGATTCAGAATCGTTCAAGAACGAATCCTTTAGAATAGTTTCATTGTTGTATTGAATAACAGTATCATCAGCTGTACTATCTATACCATGTTCAGCATTGAATCTCTTTGTAAAACGCAAATTTTTATTGATTCTAACGGTGATATGAGATGGATTGAAAGAGCCAAATTTAAAGTTGTTTGAATATAGTTTAATAGTATTATCTACCTTATTAGAAATAGTAGCATTCTCAACATTGAAATATAATATGCCTTCACTATTTTCTAGTATCAACTGAATTTCCATAAAACTAAAGTCAATACCATAGTTATTAGTTAACTTAATTTGGACAAAATATTTGTCAGCATTAGTTGACTCGTCACTCTGAATAAATGGCATGATATCTACTTTAAAGATTTTGTCAAGAGGAAAATCAATAGATTCATTCAATTTGCTAGAGTATTCTTCAATCTTCTTAAATAATCTCGTAATTTTAACTTTTGGTTTAATTAATTTATAGTTGTTGATTCCAAATTTGCCATTTTTAGAATTCACAAGATTTGAAAACAATCTTAAGCATGTTAATGAAATTAAACTATTTTCACTTTTGTCTAATTTTTCAATACAGTTTAGATATATTTCTAATAAAATTCCACCCATAAAATTCCAACTATTATTAATGAAGAAATCATAAGAATCCTGTAAAATATTTAATGACTCTTGATAATTGCCAATTTGATAATTCAATAAGGCAAGATCAATACTCAAAATATCAATAGTCTTAGTCCGTCCGGAATTAACAAAGTCATGTATAATTAATTCTGTTGATTTCTCGAAATGCATGTAGTAGGTTTCTCGATTCAGTAAAATTTCTAGGAGTGGTTTATATGATAGCTGGGATATTTCCTGATAAGTTTTATCGTCATCCAATGATATTTCTTCAAGAATTTCGTTAATGCCATTAATATTGTAACCATGGGAATTGGCAATTTTAGCCAATTTAGATCTCTGAGTTAATTTCAATTCTCCTTGAAATTCCAAGATTTCACTCAATTGATTGTACTGTTCACCATCTATACTTTTCATGTTTTCATTCATAAGTTTATTGCATATGGGTAATTTAAGGTAATTATCAATAACCACAAATATCCATTCATTCAACTTATCTCCAAAAATATTTGACAAATCATTTAAGAAGTATAATAATTTTTGATATATGCTTGATATAGAAATTGATGATAACGAAATGGAATTGGCGTAGTTAGCTAATAGTTGCAATAACGAAGATTGATTTACGAATATCAAACTTTTCAATTTGAATAAATTAATTTTCTCTCTGTCAAACGAACTCTTTATGCTAGTGGAACCAAATGACTGCTCAAACAGATAACCATTCAAGTCTGTTGGAATATTAGTAATTTCTGTTTCAAATTTAGACCGATCAGAATAATATAACTTATTTAAGTCATTTGATAATTCATTATATATACTTAACGAATCATTTAGCAAGCGCATATCATTCAATAAGTCTGCTAGTTTCAATTTCAATATAAACGCGTTGATGTCTGTTGCTTTATGATTGTATATCAATTCATTAAGCGAGACATACTTATTATTAAATGATGATATTAAAAAATCTTTCATATGATTTATCAAGTCATTGTACGACTCCAATTTCGCCATTTCACTTTCATACACCTCACGAACTTTAAAACATCTCTCCTTGACGCCTGAATCTACTGATAACGCTTGTAATTCTTTTCCATCAATTCCAAAATCAATTTTTAGTTTATCAAAAAGGGACGTTTTAATTATAGAAGACAGCTTATCCTTCAGGCTAGACCCCATAAATAAAACAATTGCCCATTCCACCTCTGAGTCGCTCACTAAATGCTTGAGCCATTCTTTAATTAATGGTCTGACTTGTGCTCTGTAGGTATCCAAACTTTCATACTTTATAAACATTATTCTCGAATATGTCTCATCATTTCCCTTCATAGATGTATTTTTAGGTACTTCTTCCACAAATCTCACTGGCAATAAGGGTATGGACTTCAATGGTTTGGATATGTTGTATTTCCAATGCAAATTGGTAAGGGGAAGCTTACTGTGCAATTCATCTTTAATTAATGGATACACATTAAAAGGATCATAATATCCCACTAGTACAGGGTTTCGTAGGTTTAAATCATCTATTTCCATATTATCTCATCGATATATTATGAGTTAATGCAAGGTTGAGTTAATTAATAATAAATTTACTTAGGCGTTACCAGAATTCAGAAATCACTATTGATTCGATTTTGAAAAAGTCAACAAG